TTAAAAAAAGTGTCCTGGTTTAAACATCAAATAGTCTCCCTAATTATTACTCAGTGTTAGCTATTCTCAGAATCTTTGTTCTAATTGTATCAGTGTTAACTATTTTTATTGTTCATTTAAGCCAGTTTTGAGGATCATTTTTCCCTCTGGCTTTAAAAATTCAAAGATGAATAGACCCCACCTTTCCCTTAGGCAGACACAGGGATGGGGCAGAGTGACACCGTCCAGGTGAGTCACAGAGGAGGGGACTTTTGGGGTTGAAGGATAAGTTTGCAAGATTAATCAGGACATAACACTTTCTGTAAAATGTTGACAGGATCTTGGCCAAAGATGAAATACATGGTACAGAACTCATATGTACATACCTAAGGCATTCCATGCCAGCACTGCTTATGAGAGAATAACTGGAAGCAACTAAATGTTGATCAGTAATGGGAAAGATCAAGTTCAAATCCATTCCCACTATGGAATCCTGTGCAGCCACTGAAAAAACAAATTTGACCTATTTGTACTGCCGTGGAAAGAACTCTAAGACATATTGTTAAATTTTAAGAAAGTAAGTTGAAAAATTGAAAAATCATTCATCCATCCATTCAATAAATATTTATTAAATGCCCACCCTATGCTGAGAACTATCCTTGCTATCAGATCTACAGTAGTAAACACGGCAAGGCCAGGTTCCTGCCTGCAGAAGAAAGACAATAGGCATGTAAGCAGACACGTACGATCATTTCAGGTAGTGAGAAACGATGGAGAAAGAAAGCAGAGTCATGTGATAGAGGCCGACAGCGCAGAAGAATCACGAGGAGCTCAAGCAGGCAGGGAGGGCTCCCAGGAGGTGGCACCGGATCCCAGACCTGTGTGGTGAGAGGAGCCACGCCGGGAAGACCTGAAGAAGGAGTGTTCTGGCAGCCAGAACAGCAGGTGCCAAGGGTCCAAGACAGGCGTGTAGGAACGTGGCATGTTCCAGAAGGGAAAGACCAGTGTGGGTGGGACAGAGCCAGGCAAGGACACCCTCTGCAGGGCTCTACAG